TTATGTTCTTCAGAAAGCTGGGAAACAAAAATTATATTCTCTGAAGAACACGAATTCGTTTTTTGTTCTTTATAAAAATGAAGAACTAATTTTTTGAAGAACAAAAACCCTACTGAAGAACAAAAACATGAAAATAGGCTGAAGAACATATATTCTGTTCTTCAGTTTTCAAAGAACACATTCGTGTTCTTCACCATGTTCTCCAAAGAACGGAAGAACACAGATTTCTAACAGTGTACTAGAAGAAAAGTCGTAAAATTTTACCATAGAGCTATATTATATTTATATATTGTCTATCAGCAAAACAAACGGTGAATGGGGAGCTGGAAGGGACTCCCTGAGGTATGAGGGTGACTCCCTATTGAGTCCCCGGAGAGTACACATTTTAGGGACGTTGAGGGGGACTCTCTAGGGAGTAAGTGAAAATGGAGCAAGTGTTGTTAATTCTGTCTGGTTCATTCGGTGAAATCATTGATCCCCTCATCTTCGAACTATCTCAAATTACATTTATCTACATATTTTGTCTAAACAAAATTAAGCACGAAACATGGGCTAATCATCAACTACATAATCAAAATAAAATTCGTGGTGTTTTTACTCAAAAAGACTCTCTTCTTCTTCAGATAGCTGAGGATGCTAAAGTTTTATCAAATGACATGATGCCAATGAATGTATTTAGTTTGTCGCACCATGAAAAATCAATTCGTGATTTAGACAAAGAACGCGCTGTATTTATGTGGAATCAATTGTTAATGGATGTTCTACTTCGCATGCCAACATCTGACGAATCGAAAATGGAAATGTTAACCGAATGTGAATCATATTATAGAGACAATGCTAAAGAACTCGAAAAGATAAATGATTTTCGTTTGAATTATTCGTCTGATGCAGCCGTGTCGTGGTACACGCGTGATTCATTTGTATATCGCCTCTTAAATAAAGCTCTTCGAACAAGAGATATTGATATTATATTTAAATTTCGATTTTTCATTGCTGATCTTTATCGACAATTGCAAAAAGAACATTCGAAATTCATGAAACGTTTCACGGATGACGAATACTTTCTAACGGTGTATCGAGGACAGCATTTGAAAGCTGATGAATTACAAGAGCTAAAAGACAATATTGGCCGGCTGATTTCAATGAATACTTTCATATGAACAACATGTGAGAAAGGTGTAGCTTCAATCCATGCTGGTGATGGTTGAGTCCAATTCTTGAATCTATTCTGTTTGAAATACAAATTAATACGAGTATTGACATAAAACCTTATGCTAATATAAAAGAACTAAGCGTTATGAAGCCCGAAGATGAAGCACTTTTTCCATAGGGACCATATTTCGAATCGAATCTGACGAGAAATCAACTGGAAGTGGAATCTGGAATGTAAAATTGTTGCTGAACAGTTGAAAGTGTTGAGTCCACAGATAAGAGACGAAACTGATGGACCAGCTGATTTGAACATGTTGGGACGTCTATTAGAACAAATGGGTGAATACGCTAAAGCTGAACGATATTTCAAAAGATTGATAAATGAATGATAAGTTGCCAAATGACCTTGAAATGGCTGTGCTTTATAACAACACTGGAATAGTTTACAATGCTTCCCAGGTCGAACGATACGGTCCATATACGGACGGTCTACTGGACGCAGGAATACGGACCGTAACATCATTAAAATAGGGCCGTATACGGGCGTATTTTCACAATATACGGCCCGTAAACGGTACCGTTTCTGGGCACAGTAATACGGGGTCGTATACTGTGAAAATACGGCCGTATACGGCCCTATTTTAATGATGTTACGGTTCGTAACGGATATCCGTTTTGCTCGACCTGGGTTGAGGCGAATATTCTCAAGCATTGAAATATAACCAGAAAGCTATTGAAATCAACTTAGAGACTAACTTAGAGACTTCTATGCAGCATTCCAATGCTGCATAGAAATCAAGACGAATATTCTCAAGCATTGAAATATTATCAGCAATCTCTTGAAATCCGATTGAAGACTTTGGGGTTGAACCATCCAATTGTTGCAGCGACGTATTATAACATTGGTGGAGTTTATAATGCTCAAATGGATTATCCTCAAGCATTGAAATATTTTGAAAAAGCTTTAGACATTGCACAAAACACACTACCCTAGACAAGAATTTTTTGCTAAAACTGATAGGATTCTTATAAGAATCTTATCAGTTTCTTATATAAGATTGTTTAAGATTTCCCATCGACAGTCGTAAGTGTCTTATAAGATTTTCGTAAGAGGCTCGTAAGAAAAACATAAGAAGGACCAAAAATTCTTATGTTGTTAATATGTACTAGAAGGCATCTTATGAATCGGCTTTTACGATTTCTGTTATGATTAAGTTACTTCTACTTGCTCTCAAATCTTTTGGACTAGTAACCCAGGTGATTGAATCGTACTATCCGATCGTACAAGATCGTATACGAATCGTACGAAATCATATACGATTATGTACGATCTATATACGAATCGTGGTACCTGATTTGTCGTCTGGCTCGTACTGTACGGTTTCATACGAAGTTGTATGATCGTATATGATCTTGTACGATCGTATTATACGATCCAGAGGACAAATCAGATACCACGATTCATATATGATTTTCATACGATTTGGTACGATTTTGCCTGATTCAGATACGATCTTAGTACTATTCTTCGACCTGGGAAGTGGCCGTAACGGTCATTTATTCTGTTGACTTGTGAGTCGTATTCACAGAACTGTTATTTTTAAAAATATAAAACTTTTACTAGGATGTATTAACTAGTTAATCGGGCCATATTTTACGCGTAACTTACATTCCTATCTAAAATAACTTGATATAATAACATAAACAGAGTAAGCACTTATAGCCTAATGGTTATAAGATCGGGCAGCTGAATGGAAGATTACGAGTTCGATCCTCGTTAAGTGCGATTTATCTTTTTATGAACCTCGTATGAAAATCTTATCTGATTCTTATAAGACACTTACGACTGTAGATGGGAAATCTTAAACAATCTTATATAAGAACCTGATAAGATTCTTATAAGAATTTTATAAGATACTGATAAGACACTTATAGGTTTCTGGTAAGATTCTTATATAAGAATCGATCTCTAGGGTACGTACGTTTATTTTATTCGTTTCGTACGCTGACCAATAGAAATCCAAGATGGCTGCCATGCCTAAAATTCTACGTAGAGCGCTTGCTTTTTTCAAAATAATGGAAAAACACGGAATTTCTTGCATATTTATTGAAAAGAAGTCCTAATTATAATTATTCCGCCAAATGCGACAAAAATAGACTTGAGCGCGAACCACAAACGCTCGTTTGGCGCCAGATCGCTCGAATTAATTATCTATCTTCTCGCAAGGTTGTTAATGAGATTTTTTCTACTGCATATATAATGTACGCGTCTACTCTGCTTTTCCATCCACAATCTGGTTTCGGCCAAAAAGTATTCAAAGTGTACAGATTCTAAATATTGCGCTAACATTTGAAGATAAGAATACATTTAGGATCTGTTTCGGATATAAAAGAGACTTAATCCCTGGTTTCTATTGTTAGATGTTTGCCCTGTAAGGCATAGTGTAAATCTGAATTTTAGGGTGTACGCGGCGCACTTTGCTCTTTGAACCGGAATAGCGCGAAATTTGAAAGTAGTTGGCTTTATTTACACAGGCGTATTCCTCAATAGAGACGCTGCCTCCTTGTAAAATTGTTTTGCTTTTGAAGGCTGAATATGCCCTTTGCTCTAAAAACTATCTGACATGTATTGCTCTAAAATGTCATCTGACATGTAGAAAGATAGGAATTTATGTTAGAATTCCATGTGATTTCAACTGTAAAATTAGTGAGCTTGGAGAACAAAGAGTTTTACATTCGGTCTCAGCTGACTATTTTTGATCGACTACGATCAGTATAAAACTCACAGAATATTTCACTTAACCTTTACCTAAAGCTGACAATATAGCGGAGAATAGAAAATAATCCTTTTACGAAAACTAGGCAAACCTTATTAATGTTTTCTTTTTATACAAAATTTTAGGAAATTCTTATCAAAAGTACTGCTCTTACATTGCGAGGAAAATTCAACGTGTCTTGATATTTCTGTAACGAGCCTAGTTCTGGCTCTAAGGATCACACTCAGTAAATATCAGAACGTTTACTCAAAAATTGAACGTGCATTTTCTTCAAAGTTAAAGTAGGTTCGACGGACGCGTCTTCGATCTAATGAGTCTGCAAAATTTAGCAAAGCTTCGAACTGCTCAAACTTCACACAAATATCGCTCTAGGCAAAATTAAAGGATGGGCCAAAATTACTGAAACAAATTTCGGGAATGGTTTCATAATAAAATTCAGCTGTTTTTTGCAAAAGATTCACCATTTAATTCTCTACCAAATGGTATACAGGAATTTTGAAACCAAAACACCCACAAAATAGTTCTTTGAATATTGAAACCCACGTCCAAAGTTACAGAAAAAGTTCTCAGGTCGTTTCTTGTCATCTCCATCCGTTCGATGTGGTAAAAATGTTCAGTTAATAATTGGCAGTCAAAAATGTACAAAATGGTAGTTTCGGAGTTTCGATTATTTTCAGAGAAATGACATCAGATTCGTATGGGTATCGAATAGATAAAACATTTCTCTTCAAAAGGACGCATGAAGCATACATGATTCGTTCATTTTTGAGTTAGCACGGTTGATTTTACAAACAGCTCCAATGCACCTTGAAAAAACACTCACAGGACTTTTACATTGAAACACGGAAATAACGACAGAAAATTCGCATTATAGCCAGTCATTCGATAGAGAATTCCAAGGGCTATATTTTGGCCTATTCGAAGTGGGCACAACGTATACATTCAGGCTTATACTGATAAAATACAGTTTTTCGAGTTAAATTTGTAGAAGTTTTGGGACGTTTTGATTTCTCTTCGATTAAGACGAAATCTCAAGTCTTAGGATCATCCCTTATATACCACTTTGTATAGAATTAAATGGTGAACCTTTTGCAAAAAACAGCTGAATTTTGTTATGAATTCCGTAATAATGTTTCAGTAATTCCGGCCCATCCAACAATGTGCCGAGTAGCATCATTGTTTGTAGACCTCGATATAGGTTTTCCTCAAACTCTGGTTTTAAGTATAAAATCTATTTTCCTCTGCTAAAAATGTGTTTTTTTAAATCA